AATTAGCTAAAATAAAAAGTGCGCCACACGCGCCCCAGATGCTATAACTTTTTAGCCTGGGAAAATTAAAAAAAAAAATTATACTTATATAGTCAAAATTTTAAATTTATATAGTTTTTATTTTTTTTGCCCAAAGATATGTTTATACATACTATTTTGATATAAGTATTGAATAGAATCTTAGTTTATAAATTTAGAATCAATATTAGTTAATTCAAGTTATAAAGATACCACCAGTGTCTTAGAAATTACTCCTTAAAAAATACAAAAAAATACATTATAAAACTCTTTCTAGTTCTCTACCGAAACATATAAACTAAAAATTTATAAACAAAACTTAGCAGCTCCTCCTCAAAACCTACAAGGAAAAAAGGCCTCACAGCCTAATAAACACAAACCTGCTATACTAAACATGGGCAAACAACCAAAAAACAAAAAGGCCAGACTCTCAACCAAGGCAGAAAAAGAAAACAAAGACAAAATCTTTTGCTTGGTAGAAAACAAGAAAAACCAGAACACTGCTACCTTCTTGAGCTCTAATCTACAAAACTACCAAAGACCTAATGCTAAGAAACTAGAAGAACCTAATCACACAGTTCGCACTAGCTGGGCTACTCAAACAGAAGAAGAAATAAATAACCAAGAAGCAAAAGTAAATGATACTATGAAAAAACTTGGAGAAACAACCAACTCAATACACAACAAATACAAGTAAATACAACAGAATACATGTCTCAAGACAACAAAGCACTAGAAGGAAAACACATAAATCAGAAAAACAATGTAAACAAGAAGGTACACGTAAACTATATGACAGATACTCACTTAGACAATCATATCAATCAATTAGATAATAGACAAGATAAAATAGATAAATTTCTACCCGGTTCAGCTCTTTAATATATTAGTATTCTCAGGCCTACCAGCAACAAGAATAAACCAAAGCAATGGTCTGACCTCTTTACGAAACTTAAAGGAGTGTAGGCAAGCTTCACGAACCAAACAACCAGAGGCAAAATTCTTTCTAAGAATGAAAATACACTAATTATTGACATATATAGTCTATATAACATCTCAACTAATGATGAAATCGCAACCCTAGCTCTCAAATTTAAAGAGGATCTTATAGTAGCCAAAAGCCACTCATTTAGAGAGAAAAGAACCTTTCTCGAACTTGTCTTCAAGAACAAAGAAAAAGTGCAAAAATATGCAGCAGAGAGAATCTCCATATTCTAACAACTCTTTTTTAGTTATATTCTAGTAAATCTAAAATGCTTATTCCTAACTATAAAGCTCAGAAGCATACCCTTGAGCGAAGTAGAACATACTACAAACCTTATCCTCGAAGCTTTTCAGGATGTTGACCAAATTGCTGCAATAAAGCCTCTCCTTTTCAAGAAAACCAAAATCTGTATAGACCAATGGCTATCATTTTTGAAACAACAGATAATTCTGACCTATAGTCCAGAATCCCAAGAAACACACATGTAGGTGACCACAAAGTAACAACAGAATAGAAAGAAGCCTCCAAAGTGTGTTACTACTGTGAGAAGAAAGGCTATATTAAAAAAGAATATACCAAACTCAAGGCCTCAATAGAAGCTAGACAACTTCTGAAAGAAGCCAAACTTTGGAAAAGAGAGGCAATGGTCCACAAATTGGATCCTCCCAAATCTGAAGTTTAGCCCAGACAACCTTTATACTAAAGAAATACCAGACATGATGAAAGTAGATACTCCACCCCAAAAGCATATTGCAACAACCAACTCAGAATCTGACAGAACAAACGTAGCACTACAAAGTGCAGAAGCCAACTCATTAGCTAAAAAATCAGACATATCTATGCCAGATTTCTAGAAAGAAGAACCACTGCCAACTCAAACAAAGCCAAGCACATCAGACAACACAAAACTGGAACTCTCTTTTACAGTTGTCACTCTCAGAAAACCCAAAAACAAAAACAAAGAAAAAAGCATTGAGGAAAACAAGAACCTCTCTCACTCTGAACAAAATTCAAAGACCTTGGGAAGCATTTATCAGGATGCATCCAAACTCAATGCTTAACACTAGGACCCTTCCTTTTAGTATAGCCAAAATTATCTATCTTCTTTCATGTTTAAAATCACTACACTTAATATAAAAGGTCTAAACAACAGACCCAAGGCTCAAAAAAACTCTTACTCTTCTTAAGTTATACAACTTAGACATTATTCTAATTCAAGAAACCAACCTTAAAGACTCTTCCACAAAAAACTTTTTAGTACAGCAATGGGACTTTAGCTCAGTATGGTTCTTAAAAACAGCAATACTAGTAGGCAAAAGAAATATAGAGCTTACAAAGACTGATGAATCTCATAATGGTCGTATTTTATTAGTCTTTATAAAGATCAAACAATAACCATTACAGATTACAAATATCTATACCCCCTGCACATAAAGACAAACTCCGTTTCTTTGATAACTGGACTCTAGTCATAGCAGAGAATAAAATCTGCATTATAGCTAGAGACTTCAACACGAATCTGAATCTCCAAAATGACAAAATAAGTAATGCTTTTCTACAAGTTGATCATTTAAAAGAAAAGTTATAACTTCTCATAGCTAACTATACAGACACAGTACTATCCTCTAAGGAAAACCCATTCTTTACTTTCTATCAATCAACTCACAATAGGCAAAAAATAACAACACAGCTAGACTACATCTTCATTGAAAAAAACTACAGCCACTTCTGCAAAAATACCCAAACCTATTTTGATAACTCAAATTACCTTCTGGTAGAAACAGAATTCAACTTAAACTCAACCCACACAAAACAGTCCCAGTAGAGATTTGACCAAAAGTACTGGAACAACCTGGAACTAAAAACAAGCATTCTAGATGAGCTTCTTAATCTACAGAACACATTTAACTAGGATCTCTGCAAATGTATAATCCAATCCATAGCAAAGATATACAAGCTAGGCCCAGCACCAGAAAAGAAAATCCAGAAAATTCATAAAAGATTATGCTTCTTTAACAACAAAATAGCCCAAAACTCTAACTTAACAGATCTCAAATTAGTAACAGAGGACCTCAAGTTAGATCTACAAAATGAGTTAGCTCTTCTTTCAAAAAAATAGCAAATCAGATCCAGTACCAAGTGGATCAAAGAGAGGGAAAAATTAACAAAATACTTTTATGCACTATACAAGAAAAAACACTCTACCTCATGCTATTTCAAAATATAGGACCCAAGCATTTCTAGCAATAATCCACATATACAAACCCTCAAGTTCGTCAAGGACTACTACCAAAAACTTTACAAAAGTGAAGAGATAAACAAAGAGGCAGCTCTCCAGCTTACAGAAGGCCTGACACAAGTCTCAGCTGATCAAAACTTCATGTTAATTAGGCCTATTACCACAGAAGAAATTGACCAAACAATTAACAAACTTCCTTGCAACAAAGCACCAGAATCAGATAGCATCATATATGAATTCTACAAAGACATATGGGAACTTGTCACTCTTATTTTAGTCAAAATATTCAATGACGTGCTCAACACAGGCCTGATCCCAAGCTTATAGACCAAAAGTCTAATCACACTAATATCAAAAAAAAAATACTAATCTAGAAAATATAAACAACTAGAAGCCAATTGCACTTGTTAATGCTAATGCTAAAATTTTTATAAAAATTATAGCAAATCACATTAACCCAATCTGCGATAATATTATAAGTCTGGCACAACAAGTATTTATTGCTAACAGATCTATTACAGACTCAGCCCTTGATATACTTACAATCTTTAGAAAGCAAGAAGATTAGTCAAAAAAGCACTGGCTTCTTCTACTTAACTAACAAAAAGCCTTCGACAAAGTTAACTACAATTTTATTCAAATTGTGCTCAAAAAGATAAACTTTGATCACAAATTTATCAGAATTATCAATACACTCTTCTCTGCTCAGATAGCTCACATAGTCGATACAGGCCAGATCTTAGAACCAATCAAAATGAAGAAAGGAGTTAGATAAGGAGACCTACTTTCATCACTCCTCTATGTTCTAGCAATTAACTTGCTAATACAACATATCACCTAAAACATCAGAAATATACCAGGCAATGGGGACAATTTCAAAATTGCTGCATATGCAGATGACTTCTCAATTGGAATTGGCTCCCTCACAGACTGGACCACCTTACTAGAAGCATTGGACATATATAAAATGGTCTCAAATGCAGATATCAATAAGTCTAAATTAGCTTTCATCCCAATCACAAGTAATGCTAGCAGGGTTGAGCTTCCAGATCAGCACAACTTCAGGGCTCCAGCCAATGATCAGAAACACTTCACAATTCTGGGCTACTATATAGATATTAAAAGAAATCCCTGTAATACTCTTTGGCAAGAAATAACCAATAAAATCAAACCAAAAATAAAAAAACTTTCAAAAGAAACCTATCCTTTAAATAAAAAATCCTTGCAGCTAAGACACTCCTGATCTCAAAAATCTGGTACTTCACATATCTACTCCCACCATCAAGGAAACAACTTAAAGAAATTAACTCTCTCATTATAAAGTGAATCAAAAACAACTCACACATACTCCCACAACACTCAACCTTTTAACTGGGATACGAGAAAGGTAGCCTGTCCACTTTAGTTCTTAAGAATATGCTTAATGCCAGGCTGCTTTTAATTCTGCTAAAGCTCTTATTAGGCAAAACTTTATAGGCAAAGCTAGAAAGAAAAATAATCTTAGAAGAAACCTTAGCTAGAAGAAATATCACAATCAAAAATATTCTAAACCAAAATCCATACAAAAAGAAAGGCTGGCCCGAAAGATGAAGGCCCTATCTAATAGCCTGGAACAGATTTAAAGACAGAATCAAAGCAAACAGCACCTGGCTATGGGAGCCAGAAAAGATAAAAATAGAAACAATAAAAAGTCAATAATATACAGTCCGCATGGCATTAAAAAGCTTACATGAATAATCAAACCCCAAAATAACTCAATACACAACACCCTCAGGTTCAAGTAGACTAAATCCAAATGGAGCCTAAACAAAAAAAAGGACACATTTTGGCAGCTCATGCACAGAGCCCTACCCCTTGGTTACCGTCTAGCTTATGTTATCCCAAATGCTTCTAGTGACTGCCCTAACTGCCCCCACTATATTCAAATCCTGGAACACTTTGCTCTAAAGTGCCTACTGAGTAAAACAATCTGGAAAACAGCCTATGCAGCTTTTAAGATAGCAGAAGGTAAAGCAATACCTCATACACTTGAAGATATCTTCCAAGTGACCAATATTAAGAATCTCAAGAAATGGAATACAGCAATGTGGCTACACATTTTTTGCATCTATGAAATTTGGTGCTGATATACACAAGCCAAATAGGGTGGAAATACTATTCCACAGAACACAATTGCAAGTATAATTAGTGCTAAATTGAATCAAACTACTAGGCAAAATATCTTGCTGCATGGGACAAAAACCTCATGCATGCAAAAATATTTTAAACTTCTTAGAACATCTTATATAAATATGTAATTGTAAACCATATAAACAAAATATATATATAATAAAGTATACTTAAATTTAAATCTGAACTATTTTAAAGTTGATTCAGAATCTACTTGGTGCATTGTGTTCTACATGCTTACATAGTTATACTGCATATTATGTTGCATTGATTGATATAACTTGGCACAAAATGGAGGGGTACAAAAAAAGTATAAAATTTTACAAAATATATTAACTAGTTTGATCCAGAATATTCAATATTTAAAAAATATTTAAATAAGAAAAAATAAAATTAAGGGTGTGGCGACTTAGTGAAGTGGTGGAGTTGTCACACCCCCAAACGGCAGGTCTAGAGTTCGAATCCCACAGACGACGATTTTGAAAAAACTAGATCTGTATCGGTTAATGTTAAGATTATCAGTTGGATCCAGATATCTGTA